CTCCCGGGAATTTTTTCAAAAGTTTAAAAAAGTTTAAAAATTTAAATTTCAGAAGTTTAAAATTTTTCAAAAAGTTAAAATGTTACAATTCTATTGTATTGAACTGAAGGAATATTAAGAAAATGTTAAATATAAATTGTGCTTTTACAGTATAGGCTTATCTTGTCATTTGAAAAAGGTGGTAAAGGTTATATCTATCCCAAACCCACTCAAGTATGAGATACACCAGTTATGTACGGTCGGTTTTGGATACAATGTTTATCCCGCAGGAAATATGTGTATCTCCCTCGGTCCCTGCGGTCCCTCGTGAGATACACATATTTCCCTTGGGATAAACCCTGTATCCAAAACCTCCCAGTACATAACCCTTATATATCTAATAAGAAAAACACATAACCAAATTAAGGTACTGATAACCATCATCTTCGCACAGTCTGGTCTTCACTGCGTTCATCGACGGGAGCCGAGTGAACGAAGATGGATAACCATTGTTTGTGGGGCAAAAAACAGATATTATTTTGAAAGGTTACCTTTTGTTAAATAGTTCTAATTTTCCCTTTCACCTGGATTACATACTCACACCGGAAAAGCCTGACAACAGTAAAGTCAGATACCATTGTCACAAATGCCGGACATAACCGTCGCTTCAACTCTTCATTCAGTTGGTTCTCATTTCATTGTCGCTAATGCTGTGCATGTATTAATCTCTTGTGATGATGTATCATATGAAATCCCAATTTGATTGATCAAATTGGGTCGTGTATCGCCACAATATAGCGTCTTCGATATCATCATTGACAACAGAATCTAAATTTGAAATAATTTACAAAGACGATGGCATATGGTAATACAGTGTCCGTTGTCCCGTATCTCATTTTGACCGGTTAAATTAAAGACTTTATATCAATGGTAGAACATTATTAACTGTACGATGAGTATAAAGACACTTTGATTGATTGTTGTTCCAAAGGAATTTATTCTAGGTCCTTTAATAGACATAGAGTTCATGAAAATCTAATTGAAGCGACGGTTATGTCCGCCATTTGTGACAACGGTGTCTGACTTTACCATTGTCAGGCTATTCCGGTGTGATACTAATTTCATATAGTTCCACTCCCAAAGTAAATTTACTCTACCTATAGTCTACCATATTGACTGGTGACGTAATTGTCAATTGTCAATGTTTACATGCTTTCAAGGTCAATGTCATTGATTCTCAATAATCATTTAATGGCAAAAGGCAATTTGGCCCATCCTTTTCGCTTACTGTGTAATCAAATCTATGAAATAATTATTTCTTAATCAAATCAAATTTCCTAATATTTAGTTAGACCTTTATACAATACATACTTTGGCCTGAAATTTAATTTCAAACAAAGTGTATTTAACTTTGTATGAGACCATTCTTTGCATAAATATGTTTCAGAATCAAGCAAAAGAGTGCCACCAACTTCCTTCTAACATAATACAAGAAAATATTGATCCCTATGGTAGATTAAATGAGAGTTAGGGGAGAAGAGATGAAGAGGAAGTAAAGTCCCCAAAACAAGAAAACAGAATTATTCTTATTTTTTCTATATTGGATAACAAATATATGTTTAATTTGAAAAATAAAAATCTTTTTCAAAAGTAGATATCATATAATTTATAAATAGCCTATTAGGTAAACACTGAAATCATTGTTGTTGTATATCATGCAACCATTTTAAACGATACTTAATTGTTTATTTTATATATGACAGAAAAGAACAGACAAAAATCAGAAAATATAGATATCACCAAGGCAACAGAAAACACTATAAATAGGAATCAATCATACCAATCTGCTATATGTAGTAAAATCTCTATAAGGCAAACACTTTTGCAACTCAGAAAAAAGTGTTAATTTAGTGGTGTTCATCATTTTAGTGAACTAAGATTTAACATGGAAGTAAATGGGTGAAGTAACAATGAGACACATGAGAAAGTATTCATATTACACAGTTGTTTATCATCTTAAAGGTATGTTCCAAGTAAAGAGGCTTTATTGTATACTGCCAATGTTATAACTTCCAACAGTTGAAGATATTAGAAGGTGCTAATACGGCCAACAATAGGAGATAATTAACTCTATAGTTTCAATTAACGATTTCTCAATTTCATTTGTTGTCTAAATATGAAACACATTGTTGTATACATATCACACTTTTCATGTCTAATTACCATGTATTGACAAGGTGAAGTCATTATTGTAAGCCATTCACTCTTCTCTTAAGCCTAGCCTTATTTAGCAGTTATGTATTCATCGAATGAGAAATAATCCTGAACACTATCGAACTAGCCTTATTCCATGACAAATTACTGTTTAACTTTCAAATATTTGAGCAATTTTGTATTATACATGTATTTTATATGAAAAGTTTTTTTTTAACATGAGAGTCAATGGGAGGAACAAATGGGACAAAAAAGTGTTCAGATTGGGTGTCACAAATCGAAAATATTTTGAAAGAATGTGATTTACAAGATATGTGGGATAATCATTTAAAATCTGATATTAACATTCAATCATATTTAACACTTCATCTTAAAGTATCAACTAAATTAAGATCTCTTTACAAAAACCAATGGCTTGCTCTAATCAACGATCACTCAAAAAACCCATGCCTAAGAACATATTCTTTATTCAAAGTTGAATTCAAAAAAGAGCCTTACCTTATGATAAAAAACAGCAAACTTAGAAACATATTATGCAAAATAAGGCTAAGTAACCACAAATTAGAAATTGAAATTGGTAGACACAAAAAGAAAAATGGACAAAAGATACAACTAAAAGATAGACTCTGTTTAAATTGTAACCTAAATCAAATAGAGGATGAACTACATTTAATTTTTTACTGCCCTTCTTATACAAACCAGAGAGCAATATTCTTCAAAATACTAGCTGAAAATATTCCTATTAGCAACTTAATGCCTGAATTCTTAATAAAGGAGATCATGAACAGCAAAATTAACATATTAATATATTTTGCCAAATTCCTCATAGATTGTAACAATGTAAGAGCATTCCTATCCAGTCTTTAACATTGTATAAGTTTGTAAATATTTGTAAATTTAGTTTGTATCATAGAATGTACATTTTGTAGCAATTATGTTTGTCAAGCCTATTTGAAAAGGTATTTTCAGTCTGAATGCATATATCAACACTACATTAGAATCATGTATAATGATTTTTGTATTTTTCCATTTTGCTTATGACTGTATATTTGTATATAAAACACATGTAAATAACTGTATAGTGACCCATGTGTCGGAGAGACTGACATACATAAGAGTCAATAAAAGAATATATATAGATTGGGAAGTGTTTGGATTAGCCAGGTGTTTGGATATGCAGGTGATTCTGCAGTATCTTTGTTTTTGGTACAGAACATTTGCATGATAACAACCCACATTGTGGTGTTATTTATACATGATGGTTCATTACTTACTCATTTATCTTTGCTTTTGGAATGTAACTTACAAATGATAGTCTACCCATTTATCTTTGTTTTTGGTACAGAACATCCGCATGATAACAACCCACATTGTGGTGTTATTTCTATATGATGGTTCATTAGTAGTCTACTCATTTATCATTGTTTTTCTACTCTTTAATGTATACATACCATTTACGATAATTCCTCATGAGAGAGAACCATTCAATAAAAAGGTCTATGTTATTAATTAATTGCATTCCTACATTTCATCATAGGGGATTCAGGCTACAAATACTAGACTGATATAACACTACATCAACTGAATGGAAAGCTAAATATAATGTCTTATTATTAAATTGCAACAATTGAGACTTTTGTTTTCATATTTGCAGTTATAAAGTTATTAAGGAGGACCAAAGTGTATTTCATTTTTAACATATTAATTCAAATAATTGTCCTTTGCTAATGGACTGCTCCTGTCCCAGATGAATTTGTGATTAAATAAATTTTTCCCTGGTGTAAGAACTCTAAAGCTCGAAAACAAGAGCCAAATAGGGCTTTAACAAAAGCGAACAAGGCAATAACATGACAAAATGTCACCACCTAGTTGCCCACAATATTATTAGTTCAAACTTAAGTCAGATTTGAATTTCTGAGAACTCTGTAGATGATTTTGAAAAAAATGGTCTATTTGTAACAAGTCTTTTGACCCTGAGAAGGTCATTGAAGATGAAATCTCAAATCTAAAGTCAGATTTGAACTTCTGAGAACTTGAAGATGATTTTGAAAACCAATTGGTCAATTTGAAAAAGACCTTTATGACCTTGAGAAGGTCATTGAAGGTTAAATCTATTTTTGACCTTGAAAATGTCATTGAAGGTTTTATCTTCAATTGATTGGTTATGACGTCAGCGCCTTGACCGATCAGAAAGTTAGCGGGCTCGGGCTTTTCAAAACTTATATTGGCCCGCTGTCTTGTGTACACTTTGCACTATACATAATCATAGGTATGTTATAAAACATATTATTCATCATACCAGATGATCATGTTAACATTCAGATTGTAAATTAACTTCACAATTATGATCCTTAAAAGAGTGAATCAACTTTTAGATTTAGCCCAATCTTTCAAATTCACTCAATAATAAAAAAAAATAAGAAAACAATTAGTGAGATTCATGTTTATATGGTACAAGTAGCTTTTTAATTGAATAATTTGTAATACATACTACAAAGTACTATTGTTAATATTATACAGAATACTAAATCATGAATAACGTCCACATCCAAAAGATAATACTACTTTCCTACTACCCCTACCTTATATTAAGTATAAACATTTACTCATAAACAAAGGCACACCAATAATTCACTATTAGAAAAGCTCCATTCAGACTTTACAAAGCCTCTGAACAAAGAACACAAGAATAGGTTGATTTTTAGGTTCATTTGAGTAAACTGCATTTTAGTATTTAACTTTCACATATGTCATTTTTACAAAGGATAGACATCATTACATGGATCTTTCAACTTTATCAAACTTACCTGAAATCTGTATAAAGTTTGATCATCTTTAACAACTAGATTACGCATTTCTGTCACTGGGAAAAAGTACCCATGTTGGCATAGGTGTGTTGCGATATGTATTGCCTCGTTGTTGTCACATACCCGAAGTCGCCGTGACAACCATTCAACCAGGTCCAGCCCTGAAACACAAAAAAATAATGATCAATAACCCAGATGCGAGTAAATGATTACGTCATTAAAAATTAAAAATTCATTCAAAGTAATATCATATTTGAAATCTACATGTAAAATTATATCTAAAAATGTGGTTTTAAAAAGTGTTTATCAACTTTGAAAAATTAATTTTCTTTGAAAATGTGATTTCTAGCTCGGGGAGATTCTCCATAGACCCCATGCTATAAAACCACAAAAAATGAAATATCTTTTCTTTTAGTGGACAGATAATATTTTGCTTTACTGGACATATTTTCATTAGTATAAGTATCAGACACATAAGGGTTATATGAAAATTGAGTCACTTAAATTGATAATATTCAAGTTTAAGGGAACTTTCTTATATACCTGCCATGTTAATTGACCCGAATCAGCCACCTGGTGGTGAAACTGGTAACTACTTACTCGCATTTGGGTAATTGCATGATAGGTATAGTAACAACATTAAGGCCAGTAGTAAATCCTCGCAAACTCTTATCAATTATGCAAACCTATATATTATTAGCCTTCCCTATGATCAAAATCAGAAAAACAGAATTTGAGTTATCATCTGTTAGAGACAAAGATCATCACAAACATGTCTATATTGTATACTTGAAGCTAATATGGATACATTGACCAAGTTTGACAAGGATGTATCAGCAGGGTATTCAAAACATTCCTATATTCTCCCATGGAGCCCATCATTGTGAGCTTTAATAGCTAAGTTTTTCTTTAACTTTATTAAGGAAATGCTTGAATGTGAGGTTGATCTGTATTCCTTTTAGAATAAACTGGGTCTTAAAAAATTGGATCAATTTTAGAATATCAGGAATATTTAGGAAGGATGATGATATCAATATATTGAACCACTAGCTCTAAGCCCATCTAATGTTGGTAAGAGACACTTTTTTATTATGCAAAACTTTTCGCGTGAAAGACATTGTAATAGGTATGTGGATACCTATAATAATTCTCCCTTTAGCCTAAATGAAATACAGAAGGGGGCACAACTGGGTGCAATGAAATATTTTCCATTTTCAATCCAGGGTATCAAATTCCGATCTCAAGAATTAGATGATCAGAGGATGAAGATCAAAGAAACTTGTATATGAATTCTGGGGGAGGGCTGTAGGTTGTATTTGGATGGTGATAAATAGTTTGGTGCCAAATTATGAAATAAACTATCCTTCATTTATTGATGAAATAAATTTAGTAACCTTTTCTTGGTTGGGTGAAGATAACCACAAATCATCTACCAATGTACCATGCACCTAATAAAAGCAGTAAACCAATCATTAACTGCGTTTTTATTTTCAAGCTTCTCATCTTATCAAGTACACGACACATCATTTTTATCTAGAATTTAAACAAAATGTTTCATTTTATTTCGTTTTTTACATAAAAAATAAAGTTTCGTAATTGTGCTTGTTTGTATTTATATCTGCGTCCCTTTTTATTTTTCATTCTAGTCAAATAGAAACTCGACTACCATGAGAAATTATTGAAAGGTTTACGACAATTTATACTGGCAGAATTGACAATTTACAATAAGTCATTTGGACGGAAACTCATTTTCACTTCAAACGGCTCTGGTTTGCCATATATTGATTTTTTAATAAGATGGTATCCTGTTATTTGTAAGTAAAAAACAGTGGACTGGACTGGTGGTCATCTTTCAAATCCAAGATGATATTTCTACCACCATTTTAAAGATTGTAACGAATGGTGAGACACAAATATGGCATCCATTTTTAAAAGAATGGGAAGTACTTAATGACATCTCAAGTTTCAAGACCTCTGCAATATCTCCCAATCTATGGAAATAATTTATACCAAAGGGAGGTGAACATACAAAGTCATTAATAAATACGAATGTGTTCCAAAGTATGAGAAAAACTTGACCTAATCAACAAGAAGGGTTTCTGTCCCTAAATAAATGAACAAAATGTTATTAATAAGCACAAAAACTGCTTCAATCTAGCATAATCTTACTCATCCAAACCTTCCTTCATTTGGGCAATGATAAATGCTCAATGAACTGTATAATCCATTGCAGGGGAATGCCAAAGAATTTTATAACCAAAGGGCAAGGGTGGGGGGGGGGGTGGGGGTTATGCAGCAAAGGTGGTAGCATTCCATTATACCAACTGACCAAACTTTATACTATGCCCATTCATTATAGAAGTAATTCCTGAGGCATTATTTGACTGAACTGGACATCATTCAGGTATAACATAACAGAAAACTCTAAACACAATGATATAATTATTAAAGAGTAATTCCCAAAAATTGTGTGACTAAAAAAGTAATTCCAAAAGGTATTCCTAGAGAACAATAATACGACTAAACAATGATTTCCTTAGGACACTGCATGACTATACATTGGACTCCTGAATGTATTAATACAACAATTTACGATAAAAACTTGAGTAATTACATGTTGTGGTAGGTCCTTTCCTCCCCTTAAAACATTGTGATGAAAAATAGATTTTGTAATATATGGAATGTTTGTTTCACTACTGAATAGAACCAAGTTGTCTGCATGGTCCATTTCAGGTATGAGCAACACCAGAGTTTGAATCTAAAGGAAAGAAGTAATTTTCTTTTGCAGTTTTCAATGAGTGTTTTATATGAGAGGGTACAGGAGGAGATGATAGAGAAGGGGATAACAAAGGAGGGGGATAGATACATCTTATATTTTTTTTTTCCTTGATTTTGTTGGTAATGGCTTATGTCAGACAGAGGAAAATGGCACTTATCTTATTGTAAACTGACATATTGAGACATTCCCTTTACAGGTATGATATATTGAGACGTTCCCTTAACAGGTATGAATTGATTTGGTGTCAAATGATTGCCAGACTCAAAAATGAATTTCTGAAGAATTACACATGGGTATATTCATGAATTCTCATTAAACAACTATCATTTTTTGTTTTAGATCATTTAACATATACATGCTTGTATATATTACCAGGTAAATATATTGAAAATAAATATTTTAGAGGCATTTAATGAGAATGTTGATATACCTTATTAAACAGTGAAAAAACGGAAAATTTCCATGGAATGGTATGTCTGGACAGAGAACCTTTACCAGAGAGATGCAACACTTATATTCTACCTTTAACAAGCTTTGTTAATCCATCTTCATGATGTAAAAAGGTAGCGTGTTATGGCTGAGGTATAAAATAGATCCCCATGGCAGGTTTATTTATAGCTCACCAATACTTCAGATCATCCATATTCTATATGAATTTCACATTTTTCTCTTTAAAAATCCAAATTAAATCATTGGGTATGATATTTCTGTCAAGTTCAGGCTGAAGACTACATGCCTTGTTGTTATTCCCCTTGTCAATTCCATTTCTTTCTACTTTATTTTTTGATTGAAATTATGACTACCATGGATTTTTTATGGGTAATATTGATTCCCAGCATATCTATCATTAGAAGCTGTTATTGAAGAAGCAAACGGGAAGCAAATCCTGATAGAGAATTGATTTACAAACCAAGTTTTATGAATAAAACGGCACAGTGGTCATTATTTTCATGTCTGAAGTGAGAAAAGGGGAGGATAGAAAGTGTTAGGATAAAGAGAGGGTACAGAAGGGGATGATAGAGAAGGGGATGAAAGAAGGGGAGGATAGACAAGGGGGTGGGAAAGATAAGGGGTTGACAGAAAATGTGGGGATAGAGAAAGGGATGATAGAGAATGGGGGGAGAGATGAGAAGCTAGAGATGATAACAAAGGGGAGGATAGATAGGAGGTGATGGGAAAGAATAAGAGAGGATGGAGAAGGGGTTGAGAGAGAATGAGAGGATAGAAAATGGGAGGGGAAGGGGGGGGGTGATAGAGAAGATGATAAAAAAGAAAAGGATAGAGGGAAGGGTAGATGATGGAATAATAGAGAATATGAGATACAGAAGAGGAAATAGGAGAGAATTGAGAATGAGAGGATGAAGAAGGGAATCAGAGGGGATATAGGGAGTTGAAAAAAATGAGAGAATAGAGAAGATAAAGAATAGGAAAAAGGGAAGGAGTTGACAAAGAATGTCAGGATAAAGCAAGGAATCGGAACCCTCTTAATATTTTACAGAAAAACCAGAACTTAAAACAGATCAGGACTTGGCTGAGATGAAAAGAGATCGATTCCAAAAACAAGGTCATTAATTTGCTAAAATCTCATCTCCCCTTTTTTCCTTCATCTCTAATTGGATGAAAATGGCCGTAAATGTATTTGATGTCTTATTATCTCCGAGACAAATTATCAACAGACATTGGAAAAGATGTTAAGTTTGAACCTGCTTTGAAATTGTTTACTAGAAATGTTTTAGTCATCACTAGCTCTCAAGGTTATATTGTAAGATGTAAAGATCTATATTAATTCAAAACTGAACCAATGAAGATAGTTCGGGCTAGTGAACAGGTACAGATTTATTGAAATATCATGCACGCTCTAAACATTTTTGGACAGTAATTACATTGGGCTTCATAGTACATAATATGATATAATAAATTTTTGAAAAATATCAATATCAGAATATTAGTGAGCAATCAATGAAATTCCCTGAAAATCTCAAAAATTGAACTCGATCCTTACTAAAATCCAGCAGAAAAATTGTAACATAACAAATATGATATCAACTGATTATTATAGACAGATGGGGTCATTTGGATGGTAGTTATAATGCAATGATGTGAGTATACAATATAGATAAATGGTATAACAATCATCAATAATTTACATTGAGCACATTTTTCTGACTTTAATCAAAGTCATAACTCATTTGCTGTCTAATAATATTCAACAACATTTTAGATGTAATGTAATTTAATATTGTAGACAATGCGGATGTTAGGAATAAAAAGCTGAGATCTCATAAAATTCTTATGTATTTTTACATTAACAATATAAAAATCAACAATGTTTATCATGGCCTTGCGTGAGTTCCTTCTATTACTAGTTGAAAGACAGGTGAGTTTCGGAGTGACTATAATCTGTAGTCTAAATCAATTTCAAAGTGAGAAAACACTCAAGATTCTTCACAAAAGTGGGATGACATTTAGGTCTACACGTATATGTCCGTTATGACATTATGCAAATCACATATAAAAGGTGCAGGTTAATTTGCTCCCCATTTTGCTCCCCAAAAGGCCTGAAGCAAATCATACTGTAGTAGATCTATATTAGACATGCTTAGATTTCCCTTTTGGGGCCATTAATCTAACATGTGATTGACTAAATAGGAGAAAACTACTTTTTTATGAGATGGTCCAAATGAATTGTAATCTATTATTACCTAATCTTAAGATTTCAGTCAATTCATCTTATGACTCTCTTTCCTTTAGTGAAGTTAAATAAATTTCCCAATTTCCTTTCACTTCTATATTCTCGAACATATATACCCCATGGAAGTAGATTCAGTTGCCAGTAAATACCTTTCATTTCAATTCTATTTTACATTTCAATACTAGTCAATAATGACATTTAATTTACACGCAAGTTGCTTAACCAATATTCCAATAGAATCAAGGGAAATACTGACGTCAATCGGGTCAATTTAGATTTATAAATAGCTCAGAACCTTTAATTAAGCTTTACTTACTTTCACTGGATTTGCTTGTCAACATTTTCTATCTCCAAGACATGGATGAGCAAACTAACCAGACAATGATATCTTTATAAGCATTTAAGTTGTCTCTCCAATAAAAAAATTACTCTTGCCTTATGGGAGCTTACATTCCTTACATTCTCAAATACTCATTATCAATACAATATACACCCCTTTAAGACATTTAACAATACCCGAAGGCCTCTAAGGGAAAGGGTGTGACAATTGCCAGACATGATAGAAGGGCAATTGAGTGAATGATGGCAATGTATCTCTTGTATATAAATTGAGCTGTGGATACTTCAGATCTCCAATACAACATAGGCAATACCATATATGAAGCATCACTAAATAATTAAAGAGCCTGGTTTCTACGAACGTTGATCAAGGATCGAAAATATCTTTACATATAGCGAAACCTGTATGTCTGATCCAAACACCTTTCAATGTGAACACTTTTTCTTGGTGACCAAAATTTGTTTCCTCCCATTGATTCGCATATTTAAAAAATTTCGGATCCGAACACCTGCTTAACATCGAACATTTTTGGACAGTCCTAGAGGTGTTTGTCATGTTCGGATAAGACAGGTTTTACTGTATATATCAAACAAATAAGTCAAGTCAGTTTTCAAAAGATTTCATGCCTATTCCATTCAATCCTTGTTATTTCCCACCATTATTACATGAACTGTATTTTACAGATTTTGTCTGAATTTGTACATTGAATAATAATGACTTCCATATCATTTTACTCAAGGTATAAGAAGGTGAGAGGTTAATGACACTTAAAAGCAATTGATTATTGTTCTTCAAGATTGCCTCCAATTGAACACATACAAGCAGCAATATTTTGTAGACACAATACTTAACTAATAAATAAAGGACTTAATAATAATTGTTATTACCAAAACAATTTATCATATGAAGGTTGATAAATACCTAATTACAGTCTAATCAATCATATTACGTATATATCCGTGAAGGTGGCTGAAATACCCTCATGGTATGCTTGATCAATCTGAATATGAAGTAAGCTAGGTGACTATAACGCTCAAAGTAGAAATGATTTTGAAAAAGTACAAAGGTTTAGTGCACACAAATAAATCGTTAATGGTAAATCGCTAATGGTAATGGTTATGGAAAATCTGTTAGGCTTATGTTTTTTAAACTGAATGCTTCTATTGAAAAGGGCGAATGTCACCAGTATACAAAAGTTAAACTTTTAGCTATAAATCAAGCAGTTGAGGTCTACATGACCAGTAATAAATACTTAAAGGTTATGTCACCATATCGTGGTACATGCCCGAGTTCTGACGATATAGGCTAACCTTGGAGGCTTAACTTGATAAGAAGGAGGGCATATTTTACGTCATAGTGACATAAATGATGTACAACTATCTAATACGACTATTTTTTTACAACCCTATATCACATATGAGCAGCTAAATTGTTAAAAATTTACTCCGAATTTGAAAGAATTCCAAATTGAAAAAATCACACACCGAAAATGCAAACTTAACATATCTGTACAAATTGATGTGTATATAACAAATCCGCAATGCCGTGTTCAAAACATGTAATTTTGAATACTGAATACATGATGTGGAACAGTTTTATCGATTGTAATAGTTTTAAATCACATTAAAATGAATGCATAAAACATATAGGTCTAATAGAAACCCAAGTTCAAAACAAGGTGAGCCATATAGAAATTGCCAAAAAATGGTAGATATTGCCCACCTTCTTTTCCAGTGACTCTCATACAAACACTTGGCTTGGTATGTAATACATAACGTTACATCAATCCTATTCTATACTTACCGGTGAATGCGCAGGGTATGGTGGTAAGAAATATTTTCTGACATCGAACACTGACGCCCGTTTCTGGATGTTGCATGTCTTGTATCAACTTCTCCATCTGAAAATAGAACAGACAACACATTAACAACCCTGAACAATAATAAGACTTGTCTTATAGAAATAAAGAGGATGACCAACTTGTCTATAGTCAACACATTAACACCCCTGTAAAATAAAAAGACTTGTCTTATAGAAATAAAGAGGATGACCAACTTGTCTATAGTCAACACATTAACACCCTGTACAATAAAAAGACTTGTCTTATAGAAATAAAGAGGATGACTAACTTGTCTATAGTCAACACATTAACACCCCTGTAAAATAAAATAAAAAGACTTGTCTTATAGAAATAAAGAGGATGACCAACTTGTCTATAGTCAACACATTAACACCCCTGTAAAATAAAAAGACTTGTCTTATAGAAATAAAGAGGATGACCAACTTGTCTGTAGTCAACACATTCACAACTCTGTACAATAAAAAGACTTGTCTTATAGAAAAAGAGAGGATGACCAACTTGTCTATAGTCAACACATTCACAACCATGCAACTGTTATATAAAAAGGTCGACATCTCATTTTCAAACAATTTTTGATATTGTGAAAAGTTTCACAGATCACATCTTGTATATATTGGGAAAACTACTGTTGAAACTTCCCAGGGGACCTTTAATATAGTAACACAATGATTTACAATGCATTTGAGACAGATTTCCTCTATTGCCTTGATGCTGTAAAACCATTTATCCTAATTTATCCTAATTAACATGTATAGTATGATTCTCTATGGATCTTTTGAAAGAAGGGAATAGGGGTCCCTATAATATTGTAGTAAATTGAATTGTTTTGTATTGTATAATAATTGTATTTTGTGAGCAATATATTTTGTTATATATCCATACTTGTACATTCATATATTTACAAATGATCAAGGTAGCTAGAGCAATTCTCCCCATTTTGAAGTTGAAGAAAATGGCAACCATATAGATGTACATGTACTGTATAGTTCAACCTATTGCAGTCTTTTATCACGTCCTTTGAATCTTTCTAATATTTTCTAGTTTCATGTACTTTCTTATACCAAACATGTCCTACCTTACTATACATTGGAGGTTCATCCAATATCTCATATCTGTCAGAGATCGAAGTTGATTCTGTTGATGTCACCATTTCTAAACAAATGTTCCTCTTTCACTTATATCTATATGACAAAATAATCTGATGAACTCTTTCCAGGAATAACCCTATACTTGACACTGACTAAATGTCATATAGTTTCCTATCTTTCCGTTATTCAATGAGGAATAGTTTGTTTATGTAGGATTAACGACAATGGAGTCCTAATATGGTCCCTGCTTTCTCCAAATATGTGATAATGATATATAATTTTTAGATTAACTTGAAATCAAAAATGACCATTTTATTATGATGTATAATAATAAAACAGTGTATAAATCATCAAGCTGTTTGATAATCCTTTTCGTTATCCTCCGTTGCTAATACTAATACATCAATGCTACAATACATGTACGTAGATGTCTTGTTTATATTTATCTACCCTGCATGCAGATCGTTGTGCATCATACACTCTACGGGAAACAGAACAAAATATGATTGTTGACATTTGTAACTGCAAATCTATCCTCGTAAAAATTACGGCAGTTAGTCATCCAATGACTTATTCAATATCCTGAGTTTAATTATTCAAAAAAGATAAAATGATAAAAGAGATCTCTATTTTCTGAACATCAGAAGAGTTTATTGGTAGCTCTATATACTCTGAGGAAGGGTTAAGTATTGAACTGCCATACGAGTTTACCGGATATTTTTACACTCTCGTTGGAATTGATTATAGGGAAAGAATTGGGTTTCAATGTTTATATTCCCTGTTGTCTGGCCACTTAATATACAAACAATAGGGAGGGGTCGTAAAGGTTTAAGAGGTAATGTTAATTAAAGACTGGTAGTACATTTATTTATGAAATAATCACATATTAAGACCAAAAACTACAGTATATGTATTCAAATGGCACCAGGAAAGAATTTTTAAATGTAAAACATTTAATTTATAATACACAATATATAAGCATAATGCAATATACAAATAGACATTTTAAAATGCATTTAAAATAAGAATAAGAACAATGGTACGCCAAGACAGAAAATATTGTCACTATTGATCAACCATCTTCATAAAACTACTGCCGATCTTCTCTTTTGAACAAGCAGAATTCAATTTAGGTCTTTAAAGACTTTTTACATTAAAACTCTCTGTTTTCGTAAAATTTCTGGTAGATCTCCATTGTGAATGAAACCAGAAAGCAAAAAGGTGCAGAACACTTGAAATATGTAAGTCTAAAGAAATAATCATAAAATTAGATCTTTCAGCAACCAATGGAAGCAGTAGTAATAATAATTATTCATATCATTTTCAGATCCCTCCAGGACTTACATCAAACCTGTTGCCCTTGAACCAATGATTGTGGTACTCGGTTGCTTCATATGGACTAGAGTCAGACCATGCAGAAGAGGGGATATTATTGACAGACACAGTTCCAAAAAAGTGGAATAAACTCCAGCAACGTTTCCATCATCCTCCGAACACAGGGGTCCAGACATAATCCAATCTGTTCCTTAATGGATAATTAATCTTTTTATTTATTGTATTTAACTGGCAGAACCTATGGTTTTGTATGGTCAAGTACAAGTCTTCTTGGGACTGTATGGCTACAAGTTTTACTAAATATATACCTGGCAATAGGAAAAAGTAATCAGCCTTCAAAGTGGTTAACTGTCAGAGGTGTTGAGCTCTACAGGTTTGTTATGAAACAGAAACATATCAAAGGTACCACGCAGAGTGCTGTGCAATTTTTGCTAAAAAAAGTTTATCGAAATTTGTGAGTGGTGTTATGGTAAAAATAGAGTGGTATAGTTCAGAGTTCGAAGAAAAAAATAGATGATATTTATGATATTGGCCATGGTTCTAATGTAAACATTACCTATTGAAAACAATGAAGTCAATTATCATTAGTAGAGGGGTAAACTAAAGCCTCGGTCACATTTGCTCTATGGTGGGTGTATGATGGGTATAGCTTCACAAAATCGATAGAGAAATCTACATCATACCGCTTATCCTACACTTAGTGTGCTAAATGTATAATAACATTAAAAAATAAATTTGATATCTATTGGCAAAATGAATAATCGGGAGGAAATCGCCACGATATACTCCGGAAAACCAATATGCGGAGGATATAGTGACGATATACTCCGGAAAACCCAATATGCGGAAGATATTGTGACGATATACTCTGCTTGTTGATTTCACGCCAAATTGACTCTATTTGGCATGAAATTCATTTTACAATGATATTATACATTTAGTACACTCCTTGTTAGTGTAGGATAATAAGAGCATCCTTTGATTTTTTTCAGAATATCATTTTAATCTACTCAGTGATATTGATATATTCACTTTGCTCTCTCGTGCAGATGTCAATATCACCTCGTAGATAAAAAATATTCCTCAAAATCAAGGATATCCTATACTGGTAATTAACCCTATATTTTATGCTACATATTCTCTAGATTTTGGGTACAGCTGCTGTACGGTTGCCGTAGATCAAATAAATCTGAGGCATTAGACTTATTTGTGAGAAAGTGCCTCAAAGACTAATATTATGTCAAGAGGGATCATTGTTACCTGTTGATTGGTCTTCCTGTTTAGTCAATAAGGTGAATATTGAATAAAATGGTAGGGAAAGTGGAATTTTCAATTATTTTCTTCCCAAGTCAAATGGGATATACTGTGGCTTCTACAACATCACATCGTATCACCTAAACCAACGAACAGTTAAGCAAGTAAAAGTCAATGAGTATTTAGAAACAGGTAACAGTATTTAGCATATGCCAATTGGTAAGTTTACGTATAGCACTCTACTCCATATCTCTGATGTTGGAACTTATCTCTATAAAATAAACAGTCAAAAAGCTCTTTCCTGAAATGCAATATCAACCATCCATAGAATTTAACAGTAGCTGAACCCAAGAACAAATGGGCACAATATTCTATCACATATCTACATATACTTTGGAATCTGACTTCATATATAATTAGGTCAATACTTTTCCAAGTTTTAAATTGATGAATATAATCATTGTAAAAAATTTCAAGGGTTTTATACCATGCCAGGTAGACTTATCATAGAGCTGCCAGTGCCGTTTATATCAGTAATATAAATAACATGATAATGCTTGCTGATAATGCTTCACTCTGTTAGATATCATGGTAAATGAGAAAATAGAATGGAAGTATACAGTTCTTGTTATTACATTAAAAAGGTCTTGGAATTCACACTTCCTTTAGTATAGAAATTGCTGATTAGGCAAAATGTAAAAAATTAGCCAAATTCTATATATGGGGGAGGTAAGTTGAAGCAGGTATAGCATGTTTGAATTGTATTTTTGGTAGTATAGGTAAATAAGTTTGACCTAGATTTGTTCCGGATGAAAATCAGATAAAAAAATCTAAAAATTACAAAGTAATCTTTAAAAGATAATACGAGATTTAAACGGTACATGAGAAAATGAATGAAAGATCCAATTCAATTTTATTTGTGATGGTTTATCAGAATTGGTTTCTCCCTTAGGAGACAATGGGATATACCATGTTGAGGCTATTTTTTAAAAACGATGCTTTTCCAAACGAGAAACAACAAATACTCTACAAAAAGCCATGATGCAATCTAATCCAGTGCTAATCATTGTGAACTGAAATGAGATAAAAGTCAGGGAGAATGATTGATTCGGAAATATTAGCTTGACTGTCAAGAGTAAATTGGTAGCAAACAAATAGAGAAATAGCATGTTACTCAATTTCTACATAACTCAATGACGTAACCTGTAATCCAATAGGCTCTCGTAAAATAATCAAGTTTTCAAAGGTTTTAATGCTAGATTTTATAGAAGAGGTTAAAATTGAGAAATAATTTTAAAAAAATGAAGGCTTAATGTGATACTATACTGTACATGGTAAATAAACCTGATGAATTAAATTAAG